GTGGGTCCACATTTACGATATTACGCCATATCGGACGCAAATCTGGATCAGCTCCGTTGTAGCCCCGTTTTTAGAGATTTGGGTACGGAGGAAAAGAGAGGGTTTTATTTTCTGATGCTGCGTGAGTTCCCCGACACACCGGGGACACATATTTATGTATAAAAGACATCAAAAAGTACATTTTGCATGATAGGTCCCCTTTTTCTAACTTTCAGTTACTTTAACAATGTAAGGGAAAAAACTCTTTGCATATTGTAAATGTTTGCTTTGTTGCCTCTTCTGTAGTTTGCAAAGAAACCTGATCATGTAAATGGCAGCGTCAAGATTTAAATGAAGAGCTCATGGTTCAGTAACTCTAAACATTCATTATGGTTCAAGTATCACCTCAGACATTCAATGTATTGAACAGCAGGGTGTGCAAGTGAGTAATCAAACATGGCTCCTTTTTGGAAATAAGTGGGTTATTATTTCTGTGATCTAGGTCATCTTACACCCTATTTTATCTTCAGCCTTTAAGCCATACTGCAGACGTATTGAAGGATGGGAGGAGTACGAGGAGACCTAAATGGAAAAGGGGATAAAAACACCTCTGAGAAGTGTGATGTTTCTGCGACAGGTGCATTAGGCTAGGTGAGATAAAAGATTGGGGGGGGGAGATACCGGACACCTTTTTGATTTCCAGGATGAGTATCTGAAATCCACACTTTAAACAAAGGACCTGTTGTTATTAATTATATATAATATAAGTGTGTGCCTAACGGGGGCCAGTTTTACTGTAGGAGCCGATAACATTGAGTACAGGAAGAAGTCAATGACCTGTGTTTGTGCACGATGGCACTGAACGCCAGACCGTCTCTCCAGCTGGTTGTGAAGTTGTGGATGTTGACATTGGGGTATCTGCAGAGGCCAGAGCAGAAGTCATCAATCATTAACTCAACACAGCACAAGTAAAGCATAAATGGTAAAATATGGTAAAATATGTGTAATTGAGTCCTTTCTCTCCCTCTTCTCACCCAGCAGTTTTCATTTGGCACCAAAGCAGCAGGGCTTCTTTAGCTGACTTTCTCTCCTTGTTGTCCCCCGTCTCCACACAGATGTCCTGGATCTGTGAGCAGAGCAGAACTCGCAATATTATAACAGTAATTTATTTTCTGTTAGTATATTATAAAAACGTTCAGAAAAGGGGCCAGAAATTGACAGGCAATGACTGTGAGTTCATGAAAAGCATGAATACTGTTTTAACCTTTTAAACATTTTGTGAGTTTGCCTAAGGATGGGCTTCATGCAGAGACATGATGTCCCGAAGGCTAAATTCGCTCTTTGAAAGAGGTAAAGCAATCTGGCACGCGCTCCACTTAATATGCTTTATATGTTACCTGGAAGCGAAGGATGATTGTCCAGATGAGACCCAGCGTGAGACGGTGATTACCATCCACAATGTCATGTGAGCCCATGTTTTCTAGATGGACTTTTTGCTCCTTGAGAAACTGCAGGGCTTTATCAACATTCTCCAGGCAGTGGATACGCATGCGGCCCTTTGTGGGCTTTGGCTGTGGGGAGCAGAAGAAAAACAAAGAAGACAAAAGTTAGAAATATAGACGAAAAGGGAATACAAACATACATTAGGACATCAGCAATTTCAAAAGAGAAGAACAAGTAGAAACAGGGGGAGAAGTAAATCACACAAAAAGAAAGAAGAACTGGAGCGCATGATTTCTCCTTCCTCGTGGTGCTGTCTGAGGGTCATGGCCCCTCAGGGCTTGGGTCAGGGTTAGGACAGAGGGGGGGGGGGGTTTCTGTGTGTCTGTGAGATACTGACCAGCTGTTCTCCAGAGAGCACTTCCAGAAGGCGGATGAGCATGCGGCCATCGCGGAGGTCGGTGTACAAGTCCCCGATGCGACTGGTCACCCGGCCCAAGTGAGAGTTTACCCATTTGGTGAAGGTCTTCTTCTGCACTGCTTCACGCTCATCTGCAAAGGAAACAACAGGGAGTGAGAAATGCTGAAGTTACATCACTGATAACTGAGACGCCACTGGCTTGAGTATCATTAGAAATAAATATTAACAAGGATTACATTTTGCTTTAAACAAACACCAACACAGTCAATAACCAAGACCAAGGACTTCAGCCTGTGTCGTGACTAGTTCATTTTACAGATAAGCTGTACCATTAAGGGATCACTGCATTGACAGCTTAGTGAGAGGTTTTCACTCCTTAGACCAATGTTTACTGATGGCTCTGCTCATGTGTGCTTTGCTAATTACCCTGACTATGTGCATTGAGATAATCAAAGTGACAATGCTAAATTGTCCAAAAAGGCAATTATATGAGTGGTTTCTTTATTGGGGCCGGACTTAAAAAAAGAACCACAATATATTAATCTTTAACAGCAGCTCAGACATATGGGCCAGGGGAGTAAGAAGCTAATCCTGCTCTGCTACCTAACAAGGTGACCTCCTTTCTAGGACACAAGGTCTTTCTGCCGTTTGAAAACACTATTCTAGCATATATATATATATATATATATATAACAAGCCCATGAAGAAAAAAAAAAAGGAAGTAAATAGTAAATAGATCAGAGGAACGGCTCTGGAATAATTAGGTAAACCAAACAAAGCCTACAACAAAACAGGCAAAATAGCAAACCCTTCATATTTTCATTTATATTACTTCACAAACCAAACCTAAAATAGCCAAACGTTGAGTAAAGCTGTATTTTAAGTGTTCATTGTATATAGCTTTATGATAAGGATGTCTTTGATAGTGCAACACACCACACCTTCTTTACACTTCAAAGCAGCTTAGTGTAACAACATAAACCTGACATCTACATCTTATGTAATACCTATGGTGGTTAAGAACAACAGAAGGTACAAATGCAATTGATGTTGCAGAAAGAAGCATTGAGGGGTAAGGTATCTGGAAAAGATGTATTCATATAAATGTCATCATTATTCAACTATGTAGTAACTACCTTAGTGCTACAGTAGTTACTGTTTAAAGGCCACACTATTCAAAGCTGAGATTTTCAACCCAGAGGCAAGGTGCAAGTATCTTGGCAGTTCATGTAACAGAAGGAGAATGTGAAGGTCAGCCATTTTAACATTGCGATCTTAAAAAGAGATTCATGAGATTAAATTACAAGGTTGCTGTATTATGACAGTTCTATTAGAGAAACTATAAAAATCATTCGGATGCTCACAAATCTCTTGTGGAAATTGAGTACAAGAAGTATCAAAAGTGGCTTAAGAAGTATAACAAGGTTATCACGGTGTTCATATATTTAAGTCACTCCAAAAAAGTGCAAGCAATGTGAAAGACCTAAAGAAAGCATGTTGTGCAAATAACCACTCAACCAAGCCAACTGTCAGATTTTGAAATGTCATGCAAGCCTTCAAGGGCGAAATAACGATGAACCTGTTGCAAGCTAAAGGTACCCCCCCTGTTTCTATACCGTACGAGAGTTTGAAATAAGTAATTCAGATAGCTCCTAGTAATGATTAAACAGCAAATGTGTCGGGACTGTCGGGTTTATATTATTCAAATACTTAATCCCATACAGCCATGACCTCTGTATTTGACCTTTGATTTAGGAACCAGAGTATAGCAATAACTTAAAATCTAAATAATGAAATAATACCTTGTTTTTATTATGCCCTTTCTTACACCAGACTGCAGAGGAAGCATGATAATTGTGTTATCAAAAGGTAAAGTATCATTTTCGGATTATGCCTCACTCTTTCCTCCCTCACTCATTTCCTGTATGAGAGCTTGGTAACAACTGAGGACACATGCAGATCCTACCACATGTTGAACACACAGCACATGAACTATCCAAATGAGATGGAGAGAGATAACAGTTAACTGGAGCAATAACAGACTTGAGTTGCAAATTTAAAAAATGCACTTCAGGAATGCACAACTACTCCTTCTGCTTTTGTTCTGTTGTGTCTTGTCATGTTTTCCGTGTGGCATAATGGACTGGGGTTACTGCATTTCGTTGTGTTGCATCACGCTTTATGAAAAAGCCCTCCACAAAGTGTTGTCTTGTGTTTCTAAATCTCCACACACGTTTGTATTATATAGTTATACCAATTGAAGGAGCTGTGTGAAGGACTTGGTTATGTCCTCTACATTATATTCCATTTCTACCGATAGCCAATAGATCTTTCTAAATCTAACACAGTGTACCTTTAAGGAAAGTGTTGATTTATGAATGCCGAGCAGGTGTGCCTATGATCATGGCCTACAGGCATATCTGGAAGGTTACAACTGTGGCAGAGACATGTTTTTTTTCTCTGCTATCAGCCCTTTAGTCTGGTGGCAATTGAACTTGTGCTTTTTCATGGTTCACCTAAACTCAAGGATATCGGACACACAAGAAAGTGTTATGGCATCACACTCTAGTATTGCTCAAACAGCCCTGGTACATTAGGTCCTCTACCTACTGTGGGTGTCCTGGTTGTTTTTGGATCATTCCATTTTATCACATTTTTATTTAAACTTTCCAGATTAGGCTCTCCAAAAGCACCACTATAACACATTATTTTATTCTATATTAAAAAAGTACCACTAAGTTATTTGAAGCTGGTTAATGAGCCAGCAGAGGTGGATTACCCTGGCAGGTGAGAGGCAGTGGAGGAGCCTACATTCCTCCTGACACTTGGTCATGTTGTGACAGAGCCCTGCACTGAGGAGGAGGCAGTGGGGCAGGGGTCCTCAAGAAGAAATGCTGCAACACTGCTGGGGCTTCGTTGCTAATTATAAGGCAACTGAACGAGAACAGTAGAGAGACAAGCACTGCGTCTGTCTGTGAGCTGTTTGCTCATTATGGCGAGCAAACACAAACTTGTCATCATTGCGGCTACAGTGGAGAAGGTCAAAAAAACCGGTGCAGCTGTCTTCAAGAACGCTGTGACATTTGTGGATCATGTTTTTTGTAGATATGTCAACTGTAATGTTTTTACATTTTGCTCTTAATGGTTCATTATTTTTGTACTTACCTGTAAGAATGCTTAGCAACAGAAAGCGTGTTTATTGTTAACAGAGAGTACCCTCATGGCTGAAGGTGAGAAAAGAAACTGAGACTATGCTTCCTTTATGTCAGATGTCTAACGTCATGCAAAATACCTGCAGAGCCTGCCAACCTTTCTACACAATTACACAATAGAGGACAAGAGAGAACATTGGGAAAATATGAGCTTTGGAAAGCAAGCCTTGTAATTACCAGTAAGTCTTACTAAATCTGTCATAATCGTAGCTTTTTTGCCAAAAAATCCACAATAATGACTTTTCTACACCAGCTTTGAAACACAACAGTTTCCTTACACACATTCGTTTTGCCAAAGATGGGGGCTACAAGGTGTGATACAATACAAATGTGGACAATCCTTTTATCCAGCTCAGAATATTTATTGGCTTCTCCGAATACTATACGAATTTTCTAAACTATGTTTAATGTGGATTCAAAACTGTAATAAAACGACCTCTTCTCTCTCAGCTCTACCTTCCCTCTGCCTATTTGAGTGTGAGGTGGAAAAACAAGTGTGTGTTTCTCTCCATTGTTTACTAATGGCAGATCTGAACTAGTGGTTAGAGGCATCATTATATGTTTCAAAAGCATATTTGGGCATGTCCAGTCACTTTGAACATGTTTGTCTCTGGCAGTAAGCTTTAAGTATATGCCAAGGTGGGAGGGGAGGGGGAGGGGGAGGGGGGGTTGAAGGTAGTGAGGTTTAGTTCGCTGCTACTCTCCTATTCAACCCTCAACTTTAGCACAGTTGATAAAGATGAATATCTGCAAGTAATCTGAGCAAAAATGCCGCCAGGCTTAATCCTGTCTGGTGATAAAATGAAGACTCCAACAGTGAGTCGCTGAGCCAAGGAACACACATATCTAAAAAGGAAAACAATATATCTGTGCGTCAGAACAACATATGTGTTTGTATAAGGACAAAGAACAAGTCCACATTAGGTGTACGTTTGCATTCTGGTACATATTGAAAAAATGCAAACCCATTTGAACCCTGTCCTGTACATATTGTTTAAATCACTACACAGACTGATTTCTGACATGTCAGACAGTGTGCAACGTCATTGAGACAGAATCTTGTTTGATAGGAAGGGGTTCTGCTAGCACAGTGTTATTTAGTTTAAGACGAGGGCAACTAGACGCCGTCGCCTACCCATATTTGTCAGCGTTTTTCTGGCTACCAGTATGCATAGCACTTATTTACTGATAGCCCCTATACTGCTCAAATGTACAAAATGGTAAAAAATATTAGTAAGTGCCAGCGGTTGGGTTGAGGGTAGGACTAAATACAAAGGCATTTAAATCCCTTAATACATTCATAACAACTCTAATGGTGGTTAATCAACATTAGTTAGGGATTGTTCCAGGTTACACTGTTAACCTGCAGTGTAACAGTGTAAGTGTTTGAATGAAGCTTAGGCACTTCTCATTGAAAAGTGTGCCATGTTGTTTTATGCACAGTAGACAACCCACGACCGTGCCCTGACACCGTCTGTCTATATTAGAGGCAAACATATGCATGAGTGGGGGAGAAGTTCTGACAGAGGGTCAGAGTCTTCGTTGTGATTCACCCTATTAGAGGTCTCCTATGTTGCTCACTGAATCCTTCATCCCTTGGCAGTCTTGCATGACACTGCACTTCGGCTCCCAGTGGCGTTATTTCAGCACAGAGGACAAATAGCGACTCCGTCCATAAATAACTTACCAAGGTAAGCACTTCACAAAGTAGCAACAAATGCACACCGCATATTTTATACACTTTTCAATTCCCTGACCATTTATTCTCAAACACATGGGACTGATGTCTAATGATTATTTTAAGACCACCTAACATGTAAGAAGCTTTCAGAGAAGATATAGAAAATGTGAGCACATGCATAATCATTAACTGCTTCTAATTTCATCTCATTTCAAGTCGTGCCCAGGTGTGACGAAGG